TTTAATATTAATTTTGAGTTATATATAATTCTGAAAAATTGTCAATTTTAATAGTATTTCGGTTCACCTTTTCAAATTCTCGACCACTTGAGTGATCGTGGCAGGCCATGAGATGATCGATGATCGACCGATTGTAACTAAACAAGTGCATTGAACCTAGTGGACTTTGATAATGTTGTTTTCGATATCAACCAACCATCCGTTGATACGTAGATGTGTCTTAATTCTTAAATTAATAAAGAGATTACGAAAGATATATTACTGTATTCAATATTTATGTTTTTACTGTACCTGGTAACAAACTCCCCGTATTATTAATATTAGCAAAACTCGCTACGTCTCAAGGTTTTTTTTTCTACGCACCAAACAAACTATCTCTAAAAACTGACCATTTAGCTAGAAATTCCGGGCTAATATGTAAAATCTATCATCATAAATATTTATTAATATTAATAATACGGAGATTTTTTTTTAATAATGAATATATAATAAATGAATATTACATACAGTAGACTCTTAAATCAACCAATAATATATATAATAATTGAATATTACATACAGTATTGGAATCTCCGACATAGTACTCGTGGAACCTTCTAAATTTCCCACATGGACTAAAAACACTAATTAGTGGCAACACATGGGGTCAAAATGAGACAATTCAGTAAATAGTACCCTCCAGAACTATTTCTTAAAGTAAAAGAATTACAAAATGCTGAAACACGGTGCTGTGCATTGCACCATATTCAATAGGATAAATTATAATCGTCTCCCGAGGTATGGTCTATTTACAAAAATAACCCCTCATTAACAACTTTTGTACGTAGGAGATGGATGTAAGAAATTTACTGAAAATTAATTGGATAAAAACAAAGAAAAAATTTAATTAAAAAGTAGGGTGTGTTGATTGTTATCTCAAAACCAGCAGCTATCATTTATATTGCAGAAAGTCCCCCCAAAATAAGTACAGTACCGATCAATGTGCCCCCCCCAGATCGTACTTTACCATTAGTTTTAAAACCATTTAATTTAAATTCAATGTGCACACTACAAGAAAAAGTCCTTTTAACAACACACGAAGCACGTCGTCAAACTATTTCGACAACATTCGGGCGCACGTGGTTGACCAACATGTTGTTAAAAGTTACCGAATAATAACAACGTGCAAAGTACGTGGTAAACGGCGTTGTCGTTTATATTACAACAACATACATCGTATGTTGCGCTATAGCATTCACAAGATTCATATGCATGTTGTGGCTGGTTTTACCACCACAGACCAGTGCATCTTGCAATAGAATTTTAACAACATTTATATGCATGTTGTAATTTTTACTTACTTTCACAAAAAAAAATTTACTATATATAAATAAATCAAATTTTCCATTTTCAAATAATTTACTGGAAATACAATAATTGAATAACAATTATCCATAAAAAAATATCATTTCATTAAAATAATTATTCGTTACAATAAAGTATCTATAGTTCTCAAAAGTGATAAACTCATCTACATCACTGTTAGCCTTCCACAAACGAAACAAAAAATGATCAATAAACAAGAAAACCCAATGTAAATTTTGTTTGATTAAGCAAAATAAAATAGAGCTCTTGTATAGGACATTGATGCTAACCTCTCTAGCTACCACATGGCATCGATACCAACATCTCTGTCAAGAAGAAAGAGCTTAGGTTATTTTACTAAAATAAGGTTAAATTCACAAACAAATACGAGAGAGAGAGAGAGAGAGAGAGAGAGAGTTCTTATCTTGTTTCGCTACGTAGCTGCAACACTTAGACTATAAGCAATCATGTAAGAGATAGTTTATGTGTAAGAGAAAAAGTTTATGTCCTATATTAATACTTACCACATTGCTATAACTGAAGTTAATTTCCGAGTCCGGCATCAATCCTGCTATCAAAACAAGAATCTCGAAAGTATTCTAGACTTATTAAAGTACAAACCTGTCGATTATGAGAAAAGAAAAGCTACTAAAATGAGCATATAAACAATAGTGAAATCAAACAAAATGTAATTCATTCATAAAAAACCTATAGTTATTCAATGTATTCTATGATATGCCAAATCCCAACTAATATTCAATAGCAAATGAACGAACTATGGTAGAGGACATAGAATAGCCCTCTAGAACACTTGCACAGTCGCACAATGTCACGTTTTCCTTTCTTTCGATATTTCTCTCTTTTCCTTGTGCTTCTGCTTTCTCCACATTCACCTCTGAAATCGGGCATGCAACAATATCAAACATATCACAATTAGAATAGAAACACTATAAAACGGTCTTAAGACTGAAAGACCTCTTAAAAGAATCCACGTACCACCATATTTACTGTCTTTTCAATTCTATAGCATGAAATACGAGTTGTAGTCCCACCATTTTCAATCAGTCCATAGCATAATATTAACAACAAGCAAAAACCTATACAAGTAGAAACGATTCACATTTTCTTGTAATACAAATATCAATATATAAAGTAAAGAAAACAACTCACCTTGTAAAGTGTACAAACAATAAGATATTAACTTGCTCATAATGCAACTAAAAATAAAAATAAGAAACACAACATCACCATAGTTGGCAAAAGCCATATCAAGAGCTTCAACCAAGACAGGAAATGATTCACCATATCTACATATTAGAGTTACCCCCGAAGGAGATATAGGGCATAAAGATGATTGATATAAAATCAGATATTAGTGTGATATCATCACCGTAAAACTACTTACAACAATTGATTTTCAAGCTATACGACAAGATCTGGATACTTTATAGTAGGCTTTAAGGACACGAGAATTTTCTGGAGAATATGAGTCATACCATGCGACACTCTTGTTACGTTGTTGGCTGAGGTTGAACTTCAAATGCATATTAATTGATAAGAAAAATATAAACAACATGGATATAAGAAACCCAGTTGTTGTCTTCGTGCACGTAAGCATCCCCCACCTCTCTTTTTCCATAATTCATCTATCTTTATGGCAAAGAAGTAGTAGATGTCATGGAAAAAATCAATTGACTCATATTCTTCTTTCCAATTTCTAAAGTATGCATACCCATACGTACCGAGTTTAAGAATACTAAATCAGGGGTTCAAAGCTTGAGTTTCATGATTAGGAATTTAGGATGAAAAATTGACATGGTGGGGCTACTAGGATTATAATATAAATCATTTCATACACAAATCAGTTGAGGAATTAATATAAAATGTAATCACTTAAACATATTACTGTATGTAGCTTTTTGTCAGTTAGGGTAAATAATAATAAAATCTACTCGACATGAAAAGTGAAAATACTTGTTAATTATAAGAATACTTAATCTTTAAGAGCGGTATCTCTCCAAGCAAAGTTCATCAAGAAATAGTTAATCGAAATATATGCGTTGTGTTCACCCATCAAAATCTTTGGTCGCCTCTAATACAGCCCTTGATATATAACTTTTCTAAAACTCATAGGGGTCAGTTTGAAAAGTTGATTGTACAATTGCAAACTCGAGACGATGTACAATTACTAAATTCAAGTCAATTGGGTTATACCAACAGAGGGAGATTAAGTCAAAATTCTATTTTTATTACTATTTACTAATCTCTTTCCCAAATTTCCCATCTAAATTTCTTAGAACTTCTCTCCATAAATCAAACAAATAATCGATCGAAAATCATATACCCAACTGCTCTCCATAAATCCAACAAATAATCGATCGAAAATCATATGCCCAACTGCTCTCCATAAATCAAACAAATAATCGATCAAAAATCATATACCCAATTATACCTGGCAAGAATCAGTGAGCGAGATGTGAATTTGCATCAACAACCTTCTTCGTTCCAAATTTACATACAAAAAATAAGAACCCTAAAAAACAAAAAAATAAAATAAAAATAAAACACGACACGGGGAAAAATAGATAAAATGATCATTTTTTTCGAATAAAACGAAAGCGTACAGGAATCGATGACCATGCGTTACGAAAATCAAGAGCTTTACCGTTCATCCCAGACGGCCTTCCGGCTTCCATTTACGGATTTTTCTTTCACTCGCTTCTTCCCCTTTGCAGTTTCAAGACTTTAGTTTTGTGATTTTTCAAGATTATGCTCTTCCTTATATTTAGTTAAAAACGCTAGTGAGAATAAATTAGTTCCAAATGAAAGCGTTTTAGTTTTTTAATAGACGCTTTCTTGTTTCTATCTCACATTAGTTGGACATTTGTGTATTCAAATTAAAAAAAAGACATTAATAATACTAATAAATAAATAAAGGCCATACTTTAATCATTTTTAACTAAATAGTAATAAAATAAGTGTTTTATTTTTTACCCAAAAATAATTAAGGACTAACTTATACGGTATTATAATATTTCTTTATAAAATTAATCCACTTCTACAATATGTTGTGTTAGTTGTTACATGTTACAATATGAGCGAATGAGCTGTAATTGTATACAATTTTAAACATAAAATTCTACATAATTCGACAACGTGTTTTGTTTGTTGTTGCATTTACATTATTCGACAAGGTGCGCAACAGCTTGTTGTATGCAATTTGTAAACAGGAAATTTACAACATGCGTCCGCGTCTTGTAGTGTATAACTTTAACAAGACGAAAAATATGAGTGTTGTAAAATATATTATTTCGGCGCTAACAACAACACACAGTAAAGGCATGTTGTTAAATATACAATATCACAGCACGCGGTAGCTGCATCTTGTTAAATTCATGTTGTTAAAAGTCTTTTTTCTTGTAGTGGCACTGCATTTTCAAAAGGTTAAAAAGGTAAATTCAAATAAATTATGTAGGTACTGATATACATATGTCCAATAACCCATATTGCAGCACCCAACAATTTGGCCAGTGGTTTTACATTATCGATATCAAAACCAAGGGCCTATCTTTTTTTTTTTATATATATATACCATTCCTCACTCTGTTTTTCTTCCCCATTATCTCATTAATTACAATCTTAGCATATTTAATTTTGTTTTTCCAAATATATTAATTAGAAATTAAGGAGAGTAATTAAAAGAAGAATATGGAAGCTGTGCAGTCATGGATTTCTCAACACAAGCTCACCACTATTGGTCAGTTTTTGCACAGCTGTAAATTGTTTTTTTTTTTTTTTAGCTTAAAATAATTTAGCAATAATATAATTATTACTTATATTTAATTGTTGTATGTTTAAAATAATTATACAGTCAATTAATTAGTAATAGTAATAACATTAATTATATATTAGTGTGGTGATAATTTAACACATACAGGCACAGTATGGGGTGGTGCAATTGGTGCTTCACTGACTTACACACATGCGAGAACCCCTCTCAAGCCAAGCCTTAGGCTGATTCATGCTAGGTTATTAATATAATTCTTTTTTAATAATTGAATTATAATATATATTATTATAGTTTTATAATTAATATTAAATATATATGACAGGATGCATGCACAAGCCTTGACGCTGGCAGTCCTCTCCGGTGCGGCTGTCTACAATTACTATCAGAAACGTGTTCAGGAAAATGTAAAATGACCAAAAGGTCAAACAGTTTCGATTAATTTGTTGCGTTTTAATTAATATATTCCAAAAAAGAAAAGATAATAGTAAATAAATAAATTGGGCTTTGTTTCAGATTCAGTTATTGGCCCATTATAAAAAGAGTATATTAAGTCTTCGGGTCGATTAATTTGGCCCATATCTATATTTGGTCCAACCTCTATGCGACACGTGGAATATCAGAATTGCTTTTTGCGGTTTGAAAATTGCTATTTGCGATTTCTAACAAAACCCCTCAAAAAAACACTTTATTCCACTACAACCTCAAAACTTCTCAAAAAAATCCAAAAACACCCTCAAAACGCGTAAAAGCCCAACTTGGGCGTCCATTCATGCAGTGCACGCCCAAGTTGGGCGTGCAAGCTGCATTTGGGCGCCCGAGTTGGGCGTCCGGTGCAATTTTTTTTTTTTTTTTTTTTTTTTTCCAGGAATGGGCGTTCGTACACGCCTTGGGCGCCCATCTTGGGCGTTCGAACATTTTTTTGCGAAAAAAAAAGCCTTACAAATCGATTTGTAGGGCTTTTTAACATGAAATTGGTTCCGTAATCGACCTACCCAATGCATATTACACATAAAAGAGTCGAAATTACATCAAAAAATCGAAGCCCAACCCTTCTTCAAGCTTGATTTCGAATTTTCAATTTTTTTTTTTGTTTTTTTTTTGCTATTTGCAGTTTTGGGGGGTTTTTTTGATATTTTTAAAAGTTTTGGGGGGTTTTGTTATAAACCGCGAATAGCAATTTTGTGACCGCAAATAGCATTTCATATTGTTTATATACAAAATCGTACATCATTAATTGAAAATCTTGATTATTTGGTGATCTCTTATATGCACATTTCCATAATTATAAAAAAATAAAAATAAATAAATGATGAAAAGAATATATGGCATTGGTGGTTGGGCAGGTGGGTCCAAAGAAAGTTGAAATATTGTTATAAGTTGGAGTTGTTTGTAAAGACGTGGTTACCACATTTTTGCTGTCCTAACGTTGGAAAGTCTTTTTCTACTTCCTAACTTTTTATTTTTTTTATTCTCCCTAACTAATTAAATAATAACTCATCACCCCATTATTATTTATTTCTTAAATATATATATTATGGCTTCTTAATTCACACCTACTCTAAAGACAGCCAACAACATTTTAAAATTACCATTTTACCCTCCAAGAACTGATATCCCAAAAATGGTTCTGGAGGACTACTTTCGTCATTTCACATCTTGAACATAATCCACAAATTAAAATAAAGCAATCACACTAGTTAGCTGCTATATTAAGATAATTCTTCTTTAATCAAAATATTCCCATCAACATAATCAATGCAATAATAGTGCTCCCTTCTTTCCAACTCTATATACCAAAAAACAAATCCAAAGAATAATAATAATGCATATTATGTAAAACATACTTACTTGACACCAACACATAATTAATCCTCAACTTTTTTTTTCTTCTCATTTCATCTTCATCTTCATCTTCTTCCTTCACATTTCTTTTCTGGCAAAATAAATAAATAAATAAATGATGGATTGTTCAATTTGCAGTGCAATGCCATATATTCTGAGGCCTCCAAGAAACACAATATGTGGAGCTTGCTACGAAGGAGCTAGAACGATTATCGCTTTGACTAACAAACTCGACACCACCATCGATAAAGGTTCCGATAAACCTTCTACTAATCCCGTTTCTTCATCGAATTCAGCCAAGGTACATGTACATATTTTTTTTTTTTTTTTTTTTTATATATTGATTAGTACTAATTAATTAATTAATATAATTGCCACTGCAGGGATTTGCAAATGCATTAAAATGGGTGAAGGAGATGAAAGAAGTAGAAGAGGACCTAAACGAAAGAATAAATTACCTAAGTGGATTTGCCGATGTTTTCGCAGATCAAATCCACACCGATATTCAAGTTCAGCCCGGAAATAATCAACCGTCGATACCCGCACATCGAGCATTATTGGTAATTAAAACTTTTTTTTTCTTTTTTATAATTTTGATATGTTATATTTAATATATACAATAGAGTCTCGATAAATTAATAACCTTGATTAAATAATAGTTTCTCTCGGTCCCGACTCGGTAAAAACTTGCTAAACTATTAACTCGATAATTTAATAATTCGCTAAAGTAATAGAATTTCCCTAGCCCCGACTGTATTAATTTATAGAGGTTTAACTGTAATATCAATGCAGGCTGCAAGATCATGCATTTTCAGAAACATACTCGATTCGGACGAATGCAAAGCCCCGCCGAACCAGACGATAACTCTTTCCGAACTAAGCCACGACGAGTTAGAATCTCTTCTGGAGTTCCTGTACAGTGGGAATCTTGCAAAGGAGAAAGTGGAGAAACACGTTTACGCGCTGTCGATCGCTGCGGACAAGTACGAGATCCCGTTTCTGCAGAAGTTCTGCGAGCAACACATGCTCGGTTCGTTGAGCTCGTCTAACGCGCTAGATATCTTGGAAATATCTGACACGTGTTCGAATCAATCTCTAAAGGAGACGGCATTAAACTACATTGTTAGAAATATGGAGGACGTGGTTTTCTCGGCGAGGTTCGACGCGTTTGCGCTTAAGAACCCTCATTTGACCGTGCAGATTACGAGGGCTTCGTTTATGGATATAAGGAATCGAAGGGCTGCTGGTGTTTAATTTAATTTGAACAAGTGCATTCATTCATTGTATTATTATCTTCATATTTGTATAGATTATATTGTTTATATATCTTCCTCTTTTTTTTTTTTTTTGAATTTTTTTTTAATGCCTAGCTATATGTTTTTTTAAATGTTTATGTACACATGAAAATGAAATTGCAGAATTTGATGAGTAGAATAAATGCAACTTTAGGTAGCTAGCCACTAAAATTTTGTCCCACATCGGTCGATTAACAATCAAATTAATAAATTAATATAATATAATATATTTTCTCAAAAAAAAATTTTAAAAAATATAATATAATGTATTACATATACATGCATGTTTTTTTTATTACAAAAATCCCTGTGGTGCTGCTACATTAACCTTATCGTAGAAAACACAAAAAAATTGTGCTACAACAAATTAAAAAAACGCTGTAAATATTAATCTCTACGTATATACAACAACCAAAAGACAAAACTTGGAACACCGTAACTTCTCCTTTAAGGTACCACAATTATGCATGCAAATGCAAATTCCCACTTTTTTGGAGTTTTTACTTTTAATTAATAATTACAGCCTTTTTGTTTTTCCTTTTTTTTTTTTATTTAAATTTTTTTTAACTATTCCTTGTTATACTGTGGAGAAAATTACGGTAATTAGTCGTGAAATTTTGTCGTCACAAATCGACAAATTTTAACAGGGTTGTACAATTGCAATTCCTGGGCTGCAGTTAATAATAGTACATTAATGTGAACAAGTTTGTTCGATTTCTTATTCGATTTCATTTTACATGGAAATTACTTAAAATGGAATTTATAATTCCATGTTCAAAATTATAAATGATCTTTGATCACTTATTTCTTACAAAGATTTTAATCTAATTAACAGCTTCGTGATTCCATTAGAACCGAACATAAAATCTGGTGCAAAAAGCTTAATTAAACACCAGAACAAATAATATAGATAGAATTCAATATAATTATAATAGCCTATAATATTATTGACTGTGCCGCGCCGGCTAATTAAACATTCATTCTTACTCATTGCTTCCTCTCCAATTCTTGATAGTATTCGAAATCGCTCGTTTCACCATCTGTGCGTCGATGTTTTCTTCGTCTTCTTCGTTCTGCTTAATTAAACACTACCTTACTTAGTCACTTATATCATAATAGCCGTAAGTAATTAAAAATCGAAAATTTATTCGTATTACTTGTCCTCCAATTGCTTGCAAATGGAAGGTGTCTGCACACGAAACCCTAGCTTCGAGAACATGAAGCCCCAAATCCTCGAATGTTGCCAATATGGAAACCAGCAGACCAGGGCAACTTTTCCCTGAATGTACATTTACCAAAAAGCCCTTTTCTAGGGTTTCCACTGTCACGTCTCGCTGCAATATAACCAAGAATTTATTGTCGTGTTATGAGGAAGAATATAACTTTTTCATTATATATATCATATATATATATATATATATATATATATATATATGATTATTAATAATAATACAAGGTGTAGTGTGTGTGTGTTTACAGGTGGTGATGGCCTGTGATGATGGATTGAAGCATCTAGGGGAGTAGAAGAAGATGATATTTCTTGATTGAGTCTTTCAACTTTGTGTTTCAGCTCTTTGATGTAGTTCGATGCGTCTAATATGATTGAGCTATCGTTCATCTGCCAATTAAGATTCCGATTATTAGCATTAATTCATTACACTACTACTTATCAATTATATTTATCAAATGTTAATTAGATAGCCAATTAGGAGGTACCAAATATATATATATATATATATATATATATATAGATGGGGAAGCTTAATATAGAAAGTAGGTTATCTTGTATTTATTGGTTGAAGAAGAAATAATAAGGGATAAAAACAGTAGATAATTGCACATTCAAGCAGAGATTATATTTCAAATTAAAATTATAAAATATAAATATGAATATGATGAGATTATAAGCAATATAAGGAGGAAAATAATTACAGAGCGAGAATGAGTGACGGAACGAAGAATTTGAAGCTTATCGTGAAGTGATTGCTCCCTAGAAACCATTATTGCTTCTGCTTCTGTTGCTGCTGCCTCTCTCTCTCTCTCTCTCTCTCTCTCTCTTTCTCTCTCTCTCTCTCTCTCTCTCTCTCTCTCTCTCTCTCTCTCTATCTTTATTTTTTTTTTAAATTTTACTGCTGGATTTATTAAATCTTTTTTGCTCCTCTTTTTTTCTCTTGTATTTCTACTGAGATGCTTATTCTTTTAACGAGGGCTTATTAAGAGATGGATGGATCGGATGCCTTTATAAAGAGAGGCTGCATTTATATATATATATATATATATATACTGATACTGATACCCTCTCAAATCAATGTCATCATTTGTTTCTTTCTCTCACATGACAACCCTCTCTCTCTCTCTCTCTCTCTCTCTCTCTCTCTCTCTCTCTCTCTCTCTCTCTCTCTCTCTCTCTCATGCATTACCAATCCAATGAATTAATAAATAAATTATTAATATATATCAAGTTATATATTCTGCTGGTAATGCACTACAATAATATGATATATAATTCCATCTAAAACTACAGTACGTTGCCCTTTCATAAACTTCATAACACACACACACACACACACGCATCTGTGTGTGCAGTGTGTGTGTGTGGATGTAAATATGTAATTAAACTATGGATTAATAATCTGGGAGCAATTAGCAATAGCAGCAGAAGCAATGCGCATATAATATATATGTGTGTAATAAGTAATAATTACACAGTAGTCCAATTTCTAAATGGATCTCACATGTGATACAGATATGTATAAGAAATTTACTGCATGCCATTTTAACCTAGCTACCAGGAACAATTAGGATATATCAATTTTACATCACACACACACACACACACACACACACACACACACACACACACACACACACACACACACACACACACACGTGACACACCACACATCCGCCCCACTCACAATATAATATATATACAAATTTGAGATGTGTTTACATGCATCAAAACATTTTTTTTAAATATAGCACTACTCTTTCTGTTTAGTTATATATGCTTGATTAATTTAGAGCCGCAATTGATAAATATTGTATTGGAATTATGTTTTTTTTAATAGATATACCCTTTACGGAAGAAAAAAACTATTAATTAAATATATTTAATTTTTTTTTATTTGATGAGTAATTAATTGAAGAGAGCTGCTTATATATATATAAGAAGAGAGGAGAAGGAATCATGAGCTCGTGATCATGTGTTGGATTGGTAGGGTGAAACAGATGAATTATTATGGCTGAATGCGCACATATTTTTTTGTTTGTATATTGCCAATATTATCGAGAAAAGTGCATCACAAAAATTAATATATATATACATATATATGTAAAAATATAAAATAAATTAAAAAAATAAAAAGGAAGTTTTAATTGGGGAATTTTATGGATGGATCCAAAGGGTCCTCACGGGGAATTTGGAGCTCCCTCTCAAAACAGCCGTCACCTTTGTCTTCTCTCCCACTCTCTCTTTCTACACATGATACCCTCTCTCTCTCTCTCTCTCTCTCTCTCTCTCTCTCTCTCTCTCTCTCTCTCTCTCTCTCTCTCTCTCTCTCTCTCTCTCTCTCTCTCTCTCTCTCTCTCTCTCTCATAACCGATCATCTAATTAATACATTGTTAAACCACAATTATTCAATAACCCAAAAACAAAAATTTAATATATAATGGAAATTAAGTGTCTTTTACTCCACATGGATTATATATCTAGTTTTGTTTAGCAATAATTTCATATTAGTGTTATAAGAAGCATTGTTATTGAATTATAATCAAGAATATTAAAAACACCATGTGGTAAATCAACAATGTGTTCAAATTATTGGACTACAAAAAATTAAAAAAATAAAGTATTTATTACTAATTTTAATTGGTATTTATTTTTTAATTATCTTCCTCAATATATGGCCAAGAATTACATTAACAAAAAACTCTCAAATATATGAACAAGTTGATGAAATTCATAGATTTACAAAATAACCTTATAACATATATATAATATATATATCAATGGTAATTGCAGTATATTATCATCATATATTATTGATCGCCAAATCATGGTTAACGAAAAGGAACAATCATTAAAGCACAAGGGACGAACAATCATTTCTCTTTTGACTGTGTGTGAATATTTCAACTGTTGCACACGGAATTTCTATTATATGAAACAATAATACTCGTCAGTCATGTCAACTCAATTAATTTTATTGTTTTTTAATTATTCTTTTTTTTTTAATATTTTTTTTTCAACTATTATTACTTGCTGTGAAAAATTAAAATATCATGAAACTACAACTTTATATAATTATTTATAACTTTCTATTTTTTACACTTAGTAAAAAAAAAAAAAAAATTGAACAACGTACACTTAGTGATCTAGTATATATGTATCTATTAATTAGATCGAAATTATATATTTGCAACATAAGATCCAAAGAATTGATCGATCCATACATGCTTGTGTCGAAAAGAGAAACATGAAGCATATTAGAATGTTAACTTTTGCAGATAATTTTTTTTTTGTGTGTGTGTGTGTGTGTGTGTAATTTGCCTTATGATTAATTATTTAGCTGGGAATTATTAATATTAAGAAGGAGCAAGGAACAAAGAGGGTATAAAAAAAATGTAGGAATAAAAGTGGCAGAAACAATATAATGGACATTTTTTGGCTTCAAATGCGCTACAAATTAAACCCCAAGTCAGGCATTATATTTTTATCATATCCTATGCCCACTCATTTTATCACGAGATGTTATCAGTATATATATATATATATAGTGAAACGGCGTCGTATATAAATATAGAAGATGGAAATGCTCCAGGCTTACAAAATTGTCTGCATGCCCTAAGGACAAATCACGTACCCACCTATTCACATGCTGCACCTCTTCATCATTACTACTACCATATCCAACTTCCATACGTACATATTTATGTCTTTTCTTTTTTATTTTCTTTCATATTTTATATTATATATGTATATATATACTCACCTCTAATTAATAATTTTCTTGTTTCCTAAATGTGATTTGGTTACCACTAATTAGTGCATGACTGCATGAGTCATGATTTTGTAATGATACTTGTACATTATTTACATTACCCACAACATGGAAATTATAAATTTAGATTATACCGCATTCCAAGAAGCTTCGAATTATCTCTAATTAATATATAAACCTCATCTAGATGAGATTGATAAGATATATATATATATATATATATATATATATATATATATATATATATATATATATATATATATATATATATATATATATATATATATATATATATATATATATATATATATATATATATATATATATATATATATATATATATATATATATATATATATATATATATATATATATATATATATATATATATATATCTCTCTATATATATATATATACATATATATATGTATATATATCTATATATATATGAGTCACCCCCCCCCCCATATAGAGCTGTCACAAATATATATATATATACACATCTTAGAAGATAAAGACCCACCAAAACATATATATATATAGTGAGGCTAAAAATATGTATGGATATCGAAAAAAAAA